AGCGTATTCAAGACCATCTCCAAAATACATTAGTGATTGTGTCTCCTCTTCATCATTCAGCCACGCCATCTGCTGGAAGTTTCCGGCGGCGGCATCGTGGTGGCTGCCGGAAGTTTCCGGCAAGCCATGGCCGGCGGCACCGGCACACTTAGGATCGATCAGCTGACTCTGATAGCTACTCGGGTGGTGGTGCAAATCTTCCTCCCACAACGGGTACTCATCTTCCTCTCCGATCAGCCTAGGGTACAAATTTCTACGAGCCCGCTTCGTATGATCGAAGCTAAGCAAAGAGCCACTAAAACTTCCGTAATCGGGCTTGAAGCTAATTACGGAATTGCCCTCCTCGGATAGATTGTAATTATTATTATTATTAGGTGCGGCGGCCTGATTATAACCTAGTCCGTTGGAGTTTGTGCTGCTCGGGCTCGAAACGGAGGAGGAGTTGCTCATGGTGAAGTTCTTGGCGAAGTTGTGGCCGGGCTTTTCCGGGCTCTCAGGCTCAAGGTAAGCACGCGTCCCGCCATACATGTGGTTGTTGTTGTTATCCTCGGGCGAGGAATTTATTATCGGGCCGCCTCCGAAATTGTTGTTATCGTAGAAAGCGCTAGCTTGGATTATAGCCATGGTGGAATCATTCTTGTTGGCTAGTGACATTGTATAATAATATGATGATGAAATGAAATGAAATGAAAATCTTGACTTAGGAATTAATTTTGGTTTGAGAGATTAGGACAAAAATAGAGACAAGAGTGGGGACAAATTGTGTGTAAGAGAAGTTGGAAGCTAGGGTAGGTGTTCAAACTTTGTGGCCTTCTATCTTATATTAATACTAGAATTATTTTTTATTTTTTTATTTAATTTTTTTTAGGGAAAAATTATGTAGCAAATTCAGTGTAATGGGAACAAGGAGTTTAGATGTGAGTTTTAAGTGTAAAATGGAGTTGGAAAATTAATGTGTGGGTGTTTATTAATTAATTAATAAAATTAATTAATTATGGGGTGTTGTATGGGGATTGTTAGCTGGCAGAGTATCGTAGTAAATTTAATTAATTGAATGGGAGAAAAAAAATATGAAAAAAAATTAAATTTATTGTATAACTATAAATTCAGCAAAAGGCTCGGCGCTTCTCTCGCCATGCCCACGTCTATCAGATTCCACACTACTACAACTTGAGTTTTCATTTAAATTCCATCAAATTAAAATTAAATCCCCTCAAAATTGAAAATTTTTTATTTAGGGTAAATTACAGCCACCCCTTGGGCAATATCAAATTACGAAAAAACTTCTTATATTTGGATAATTACAACTATTTCTCTTGTAAGTTTTCTTACACGTCCACTCTTATGGCGTCAAATTCAAAAGAATCTTCTAGATTCCGTGGAATGTTATCTAGTTTATATTCATTTTGTGCAAAATGCAGTTTTTGATGCACCGCAATATGATATTTACAAGCCAAGAGACACGTCATATGATCATTTTATTTCAAAATGTGGAGCTCAAATGAGATAAAACAGATACAAACTAGAGAATATTCCACATAATTTAGAAGATCCACTAAATTTGACAACGTAAGAGTGAACGTGTAAGAAGATTCATAGTTGAAGGGGTGAGTTAATTGTAATTACCATAAACATGAAGGGCTTTGTCGTAATTTAACATTATCTCAGAGGTTGGTCGTAATTTATTCGTTTGAAATTCGAAGTTATTTCTTAAAAAATTCAGTCGTAAATTTGTTAATCGAAAATACACGCACGTAACGAATTGGACGGAAGAGAATTTTTGTGCAATAAAAATAATAAAAGGGGTTTTAAGACAATATAATAAATAAACAGAGAGAAGTTGTAATAGAATTCTTCTTTGGGGGGGGGTGGTATTGGGGGTATTTCCTACCTATTTTCCTCATGAATAAAGGAATCCACGAGCACGTGAATTCAATGTTTTTTTAATTATAGTTTCTTACATTCTATTTATCTTAGTCATTGATTCCATTAATTTTTAAATAATTTTCCAGCTGACCCAACAATTCTAATCAAGGTCTTTTTGAATCGATCAAATTACTTGATTTGGTGGCACAATAATAACATGTTATTTGTGACAATTTGTTTACGACTAGATCGTAATTCAAAGCAGTTCGAATCATTTTGCCAACAATTGCTAAATTTGCTATAGATGACTTATACTTACTGTAATATACAAGATATACAAGAAATTGACGTTTATCCAATACACATATATAGCTGATTGCATGTTCATTCTTTAGATATTTAAGAGTAAATTACAAGCACTCCCCTAATATATGGTGAATTTACGAAAAAACTCCTCTTGTTTGGATGCTTACATTTACACCCAACTATATATGATTTTTTCTTACATCTCCACCCCTATGGTCTCAAATTCAAAATAATCATCTAGATTTTGTGGAATGTGCTCTAGCTTGTACTCGTTTTGTGCAAAAATACAGCTTCTGATGCACCACAATCTGATATATACAAGCCAAAAAACACATATTATGATCATCTTGTTTCAAAATGTAGAGTTCGAATTGGATAAAACGGGTACAAAAATAATAATATTCCATATAATCTCGAAGATTCCACTAAATTTGAAACCGCAAGGGTGGATGTGTAAGAAAATTTATAATTAAGGGGTAATTGTAATTACCCAAATATGAGAGGATTTTCGTAATTTAACTATAAAGGAAAAAAAATGACCAGTTCCCCTACTAATCACCTCTTCGAACACATACAAGTGCTCACGGTGATCGATTATAGTTCGATTACAGTTCGATCCACTCCCATACTTTCATAAATTAAAAGAAAAAATATATAAAAAAAAATTGATGATCATGATTCGACATATATAAATCAAAATTCCAGCACATGGAACAATCGGTGGCCATAACCAAACTAACAATTGCAACAATTAGATATCTAATTTAAATTACTGTACATTCAATAAAGAAATAAGATCGAGCAAGTGTTAGTGGTAGATCATACCTCAATTTTATATCAATAATCGTTGTAAATCGCTTATTAAAATTGGACGGTCTGTATCAAGTTACGAGGGTGTGCGTGGAATCTTGATAACCGTCGGATCAACTTTGGAAAATTCTACAGCAATATAATTTCATGCATGGATTAAGACATTCCGCTCATATTATATTATACTATTAATAATAATTTATATTTCACATATGAAACGGCTCAAAAACATTCTTCACTTTATTTTTCGGTAAAAAAATGCAATAATTATAAATTTATAATTTATAATTAAAATTTAAAATATTTTTATTTGAAAAAAAATCAATTAAATTCAGGGTAAATTAGATTATTGGGTTTAAAAGAGTTTTTTTTTTTTTTTTGTGTTGGAGTTCTACTTGTTTTTATTTAGCATTACATTGTACATGTTGGGTATTTAATTTATTTTTTTATTTTTAAAATCGTACTGTAGCTAGTTGGTTAATTAATTATACTATTGAGTTATTGGATTAATTATGATGAATTGAATAGTATTATACTCAACTTGGACGATCGTTTAATGAATAATGAGTGTAACGGAATTTTCAAGAAATGAAAATTGGAACCCATTTTTTATTTTTGAAAAATAATGAAAATTTTCGAAAAGAACTATTTTCGATCTGTTCTGTATGATTTCAACTATAATCTTACGTTATTAGATAGATTATTATTATTATTATTATTATTATTATTATTATTATTATTATTATTATTATTATTATTATTTTCTTTTGTATGTCGGTACGATAAAATCATAAAAAATCCCATTTGACTAGTACTAATTTATTAATGAAACGATGTATTAAATTTTATTTTATTTTAATTTGTTTTTTGTATTTAATAATTTGTTCAAACCAATGAAGATATGTTAAGCCACATTAATGTATGATTCAGACAAGTAATTAAATAGATGATGATAAAATCAAAGCTGGCTTCGGAATTAGCGCAATTCCCTTGTCTCCTGGAGATTATGTTTGCACATTATTACTACTTTCTAACTATTTAATTAAAGGGATTATTTGTCAAAAGTCCCCCATTACACATGTCTAATTACACTAGGTCCATTTTTTTTAGAACTTTTTGAGATAAATCCATTTAATTATTAAATAATAAAAAATAATAAATTATCACTATTATACCCCTAACTTAAAAGTAACGTATGTTTTATGATTGGAAATAAAAAAAATTAAAAAAGATTTGTAATATATTTTCCTATTTTATCGTAACAACACATCATCATATCCCACGATTGCGCCCCTTAATTACAGAGAAACCGTTTCATAGATATCTGTATTTTTCCACACTTCCTCTACCGATCCAATTGTACGAGCAGAACGTTTCATATTAACAACATACAGAGTGGTTCTCGTGCTATTACTCAAACTCTGTAAGTTCTTAACAGTCATGTTCTCTTTTTTTTTTTTTTTTTTTTTTGGTGTTCGAAATTATGTGTACATGAAAGCAACTGTTTTTTTCCCAGCCATTGTTACGCGGTTGTTAGCATATACGAACCTTTCAAAATACAGAGTGGTGTCTACGAATAATAGCCGACACCCATAATATTAATGATTTTTATTTTTGTGCAAAAATATGTTAATATGAATACAGAGTGGTTTTCCCCGACATTGGTATGTGATTTTTAACATATAGCCGATCGAACTTTTTTGAAAATTCAGAGTGGTTTTCACACATAATATCCGATACCCATAATAATCATGTTTTTTTATGGGTTCAAAATTATGTTAATATGAATGCATCTACGTAGCAAAATAAAAGTGGTTTTCAGTAAATAACAGAGTGATGTTCACGATTTCATTGTTTTATTGGTACAGGGGTACATTAACGTAACAATAATCAGTGGTTTTCAACAAAATATATAGTGGGAAAATATAGAGTCTAATTATGCAATACAATTGTTAAAAAAAATACATAGTGGTTCTCGTGCTTCTCCGCAAACCGAGATAGTGCGTAATAGTCATGGGTTTAGCACTTTTCGAATTAATTTTAATACGAATTCACATTTTTTATGCTGTCGTAGGATATATTCGATCGATAATTTAAAATGTCATAGTGGTTTTGATATATTCCCGGATTACAACGTTACATGTCCGTTTTAAAATTATGAACAATGTACATGTCAGATGTGTAATGTATGTCTCAATCGTGGTAATAGGGTATTTTTTTCCCATATCTAATAGCATGTTTTTTTTTTCGTCATAATTTACCATGTAATTATTTTGTGCAGTTTTCATGGATTCCAACGTGACATTTGTGTTGAGGTTTCGAGGGATTGTTGCAATAAAACGATGGTCTGATAGCATGAATTTTGATTCATTGATAAAATATGTTTGGTCGAAGTTTGATGCGATCAATGGACGTAACTTCACTTTGACTTATAAGTTTGACGTGTACGACGACTGCATCCTTGCGAGCGATGATGATTTGACATCGATGTTGTTCATCATGCGCGAGATTGGGGCTGGTCGTGTTGAGATAAGTGTAAAGGAACAGCAACCTATGGACGCAAATCTTGGTGACTGTATCCAACAACAACCGGTGCAAACCATTGTAACATTGGTCGAATATGATAGGGCCGCAGTCGTTAGTGAACAACAAAACATTGTAAACATATCAACAGGTAACGGCAAGAGATTGCTGAGTGCGGAATGGGCTAATTTAATAAAAAATGAAGGTCAGGAATTTGCAGGGGGGGCTGATGAGTTCAGGAAGTCGCTTGTGAAGTTTTCGGTCGAGATTGGGTTCGAATATGAGTACGTGAAAAATGACACGTGCAGGGTTAAGGCTGAATGTCGATTCAAAGATGAAAAACAATGTCCGTGGAGGATACATGCATCCGTAGACAAATCTAACAATCACTTCTACATTCGTAAGTACAACAATAACCACAGATGTGGATTATTTTTTGGTACTGCTAGCAAGAAGCGGGTCACTTCTGATGTAATCATGGAACTCATTGACGGTTATATTCGAACGATGCCGTCAATTACTCCTCGGCAAATTCAAGCACAGATAAAAGAAAATTACGGGCTAGACATAACATACTACGTGTCGTGGAGATCAACAGATGGTGGGAGGGACAAGATTTTTGGCGATCATGGCGTTTCGTATTTGTACCTCCCCGCGTATTTTCGAGAAGCAGGGCGTGCAAATCCAGGAAGTGTTTTCCACCTTCAAGTCGATGAGGTCAAAAACACCTTTCGTCGATGTTTTTTTTCATTTGCTGCTTGTTTGGAGGGCTTCAAACTCTGTCGTCCAGTTGTTATGATTGATGGTACGTTTTTGAATGGCAAGCATGAAGGAATTCTATTAAGTGCAGTTGGAAAGGATGGTGATGAAGATAATCTTCATTGGTTTTGTCATTGATATTGATTAAAATATCATGGTAAAAACCACACACTTATGTAATTGACTTGCAGGTATATTTCCAATTGCATTCGCAGTTGTTAGCGAAGAGACGGACGACAACTGGGATTGGTTTCTAAAACATTTTAAGGATGCAATAGGGACGGACAGAACACTAACCTTCGTTTCTGACAGAAACCACGGGATTCTTCAAGGTGTCAAGAACGTGTTCCCGGATTGTGTTCATGGTTATTGTTACAAACATTTAACTGGTAATCTCAAGGATAAATTTAGGGGTGCTACTAAGAGTCATCGCAAGGCAGTCCTCAAACAGTTTGAATACTGCGCATATGCTGCCACCAAACAAGAATTCGATAGAAATGTGGAGAAGTTGCGAGCAACGGGCGGCCCCAAAGTTTGCAAATTTCTTGCAGATACACCTAAGGATAAGTGGTCCAACGCATATTTTGTGGGACAACGGTATGGCCAGATGACGTCAAACGGTTGTGAAACGTGGAATTCACAAATTAAAATGAGGAGATTACTTCCGATAACGAATTTGATTGATGGTATTCGTATATTGGTTATGGCTCAGATGTCACGTAGATTAGGTGAGGCGTATGGATGGCCAACCGTGTTGTGCGACACATTTGATATAAAGATGAGGGAGTTGGTCGATAAAGGCAGATCATGGCAGGTGAAAAAGTCATCCGATTATGTGTGGGAGCTGTTCTCAGCCCCGAATGCTGTTGTTGATGTCCAAGCGGGGACGTGCTCTTGCAGATTGTGGCAAATAAACGGTATACCGTGTGAGCATGCTGCCACAATTATATTTCACCATATGGGTGGCGCATACCAACACATCGATCATTGTTTTCATAAATCGACATTCATCCAAAGCTATTCCCCGGCCATATACCCGTTTGTGCAGCCGACGGCAGATGATATAACTGCCGTGATAAATCCACCTGAACATCAGACTCGCCGCGGTAGGCCGAAGAGAAAGAGGATCCCAAGTAGAGGTGAATTGATCCCCCGTACGATTAGGTGCAGCAAGTGTAGGATGATGGGCAAACATAACAAGAACTCTTGCAAAATGGGGGAATATTGATTGATGCATCGTCTCTTATATTTTTTGTGTCTACTTTTCGTTTATAGGTATTAATAATTGCGACGCCGTTTAGTTTGCGGGTTTCTGATTTAATAATGCAGTTTCGAATTTTGCCCGTATGAGGCACACTCTGCTAACTGTACTTTGTTTTAATGGAAAAACAAATTTCAGTTAATATTACTATATATTTTATGATTTAGTTGACATGTCAGTACATATATGTAAAGTTGTTATTACATATTAAAATGGAGTTTAACACATAAATTATTATTACTTTCAGATTTTTATAGTTCTCATAAACCAAAAAATCTCAGCAAAAAATCTCTAGTTAACACCTACTTAATAATGTGTAATCAGATTATAATAGTGGTTTTAGATCAATGCCCCATCAAAAAACGGAAAACTATCAAATCAACATTTACTTTATCAGTGTTTGGTGTATCTTACAAACTGTAATTTATTTTACGCGATACATTATTTTGAAGTCACGAAAAGATTGTAAACCATTATTGATAAAAACTCACAATAAACCTTTAATTGATCTAGAATCTTGAAGCACACTATATAACCCATCGTAGCAGCAAGTAGTGTTCTCTATTACGCTATATGTAATAGCTTAAGTATTAGGTTGCAAATCATGTTGTTATTTCTTTTTTAATATGCATCAATTTGTCATAACAACCGTGTGCCTACGTTTTTTATGACGTGCGATTTGTGATGAGTTTACCTGTGAGGGAGAATTTTAAACAAACGGCATTAAGTAATATGTACAATAAAACCAATAGATCGAACGGAGATTGTTAAACAAATCCATCAAAAAAACGGGAAAATCAAACAATACATTAACTAACCACTTTGCCCAGATTTCACATGTCCAAATCATATATAAAGCGTATGCCGAACAACTGCATTCCAAAAAAAAATCCCAAAAGAAATATGCATAAAAAAAAAAACACAAACAAAAAAAACCAAAATAATACCCATTTTCACCCCCTACGTCGACTGTATTCTTTATTTTTCCCCCATTCCAGTACTGCCTCGATAATCTCTTTTCTCGTGTTTGGAATATCCTTTACGCCTTGTGCTTTTGTGATAATTTTATTTTCAAAATATTGCCTCACAATGTAACACACAACGACCCCACAGTCGACACTGTCGCTCTTCTGTTGCGGAGCATCATTCATTAAAACCACTTCCTCGTCATATGGGAGATCAAGTTTGTGATATCTCCCCGTCTTATCCACCGCGTCTTTCTGTTTATACAAAACAAATTTATGAATAACTAATTCATGGATAACGTATGCAATTATATTAATAAACATTGCGTAGCTCTCACCGACCGTCGTGTAATCTGTCTTCTCAGGAACGACATGACAAAATGATAGAATGGTGTTTTCCGCAGGCAGTCTAAATGTGGTTGTCGTAGAGGCATGTCACGGAAGATGGTGACAGTTTTACACATTCCACCACGGAATTGTCGCGTCCATGTTTTTTCTTGCCGGACGGTTTGTCCCAATTTCTTCATATCATCTACGAATAAAAAGTTAAAATATCGTTGGTTATGCATTGATTGACAACCACATATCAGTGCATAAACAAATGAATATGTATAGTAATATATATTCATACACTCCAACACTAATTAACATTCATACAAGCACCAAAACAACGCACTGATGAAAACTGTTTAAAAAACAATACAAAACGTACCATTAAGTGGTTTTAGATAACACCATTAAAGGAAAAAAAAAACATTCTTGCACACTTCCGAACAAGTTGATTCACGACACATACATTTTTTTTTTAAATTCTGAAGCAAAACATACATAAATTACACAACATTTGTACCAACTGCACTTAATTCATAAACACATAACATTTTTCAAAACCACATAATTAAAACCACATACTTATTTAAGGCACCAATCACAACACTTAATCGCATACCATTTATAACACTTAATACACTTAATACAGAACCACCGAATAAAGACCATGAATGAAAACCACTTATTCGAGTACCATTAAGAACACATATTACACTTAATATCTACGAAAAACAAACTTACTACAAAAACCACCGAATATGTTTCAAACTCAAAACCACTAAATCGTAACCACATATTTTTTTGTGGTTTAAAAACCAACTCATATAACCAGACGAACAAAATAGCATGTAAATATGGTTGCTGAAAACCACTAATACATAAATAGATTTTGCGACTTTTGTGGTGGTTTTGAGCTCAACCCTTAAAACCACTAAAACAAAGGAAAGTATATATTTTGGTTGTAACAACAAAACCCAGGAAAAACCACATTAACACTTAAATGTTTGAACATATACATACCAGGATGTGCAAAACATCCAAGTAACAGACTTCCACTTCAAACATTATTTTGGAACCAAATAAGTTGTTTCCAAATTAAGAATGCACTTCGAAACTGTAATTGGGCAAACACCCATCCCAAAAACAAAACAAAATTGAAACATTTTTTCACAATTTACGGATTTAAAAACTCACCAGCATCTACGGGCATAATGTCAGGACCGGTTTTGGATTTCCTTTTCCCTGTAAAAAAATACAGATTACAACTTGCACATGCACAAAACAATGAGAACACCCATTTTGATTTATTGTGGTTTTCTACTAATTGAACGGAATCAACCTATGGTGACACCGATTACTTACTTTTCGCTGCTGATTTTTGTACCATCTTGCCGTTGTACAAAAATACGATGAAATTTCGCTTCCTCTAGCAGTTTTCGTCTCTGATTTCAGCGTAAAAGAAGAACGTCTTCTACCGTAGTGTGGGGCATTGCAGAAAACGGGGGATAATGGGCTTAGCCGGAGTGGTTTTTTCTACCGTGATTTGGGGGAAGAGAGGCGAAATATACGTCAATTTGATTTTGGGATTGATATGGGTTTTGATTTATTTTTGGGAGGGATTTGGTATTAAAGTACCGTAATATTTAGTTTAATTTTTTAGTGGGGGCATATATGGATTTTCAAGTCCAATGGACTTATCTCAAAAATCATTAATTAATTATGGATTTATCAAGAATAAAAAATCCAATGGAGGGTGTTTGCCATATTCCCCCTTAATTAAATTACATTAAATGACATAATTATTAATTAATACTATTTTAAGTAACCCCCATCTTGAATCTGTGTCAAGCTTCGCCTTATCCGGTGATATAATTTACTCCATTCATCTTAAAATTAAATTTGGCTTAATTCCACTTTACACCCTTAAAATATAGAAGTTTGACGCTTTGCATCGTAAAAAATATCTAATAGCACATTGAACCCGCAAAGAATAATAAATCATGCATGATGCACCTTAAATAAATTTTTAAAACTTATAAATGTAATTTAAAATTTTAGTGGTATTTATTTAGGATTTCAAATGCCAAATCAATTTTTTTTTACGCATTAATCCTTTCAAAACTATAAAGTGCAACAATAAATATACACCTCATTAACATATTTAAAAATTATATTTGTTTTCACGAAAAATAATTTATAAAAGAATAAAATATCATTCAGCTAATTATTTGAAAATCATATTTTCTTCCAAATATTTTCACCAATTACAATAAGATATCCATCAATCGAATAATTTAGTGCATAAAACTCAATTATATTGTAAGAAAATATAGTTTTTTCAGTAATTCGGCGTGATTTTTTTTTTTCCCTTACTTTAAAGGCTCGAAATTAATTTGGAGGGTTGAAGAAAATAACACTGAATTTGTTATTTTGCACCCTCGAAAAAAAAAAAAAAACCAATAAAATATAAGATTGCCCTAATTAAGTTTTAAATATTCAATTCATGGTGCACTGTGAATGATTATTATGTTTTGAGGGTGCTTAATTTTTTTCAAATGTGCAAAATACCAAAAGCTCTATTTTAAGGGTGCAAAGTTGGATTAAAATAATTAAATTTTGTTTAAGATTTTAAACACACAGTATTCAAATATTTACAGCTATGTATTGCTAATTTTCACTTTTATTTATTCACATGATGAACTCATTCATTTAGTGCTCAACCAGTAATTACCTATTAATTAAGAGATTTGATTATCCTAAACTCTGTCAATATTGATTAATGAATATCCTCACATGGGCCATATATGCATTTTTTGTCAAACGGTGGTGAGTTGATCTGTTAATTTGTATTAGTTTATGTAATAACACTGAATTGATTGCTGCAGTGTTAGTTGACCTTACCAAACTATTACAATTAAAAAAAAAAAAAATAATATAATTCAAAATTAGAAAAAATAAATAAAAAATTACATATCTCCCCTTGCTGAACATTTTTATTGAGAAAAATATAATACAGAAATGTCATTAACGAAAGAAAATAGACTAATGTAGATCATGGGAGATCAAATTACATATATCAAATGGCAAAATGTAAAATGTGTGACTGTTGGTTGGTTTCAGATTAGCCTAAGGAAAATGAAAATATTTACAATGTACTAATTTGGTTTGTCATAAATAGTACAATTTCTTTTTTGATAAAATATTTACTACTGATATAGAAATATATTTATGATATAGTGTATTTCACTATTTATTTTGAAAAGAAATTCATTAATTAATATAAGAAAACATTTATCATTCTCTTAATGGATTGCTTTATGAAATAATATGTTTATGCAGATATTACATTTAAAAAAAAAATTAAAAATTATTCAATCGAAATTCCCCAAACGGCGGAGCTAGGGTTTCAGATGAGGAATCAATTTCCCGACTAAATTCTCCGATCAAAGATTCCACCTTTATCCCTTCTCTCTTCTGCAATTGAATACGGTAAACCATGAGGAATGGTGGCCGGAAAAGATCTCACGGCGGAGATTCGTCTTCTTCATCGTCTTCTAAGATCGACTCAAGTAAAAAACCCTACTCCCACCACCACCACCACCACCACCACGACCACCGCCACCACCGTATTTCTCCGCCGTCAAACTTCCCAGACCAAAATTCCCGTCACCGAGTAACGGGTAAGCGCTCAAACTTCATTTCCTACACCGAATTGCCGTCTCTCCCCCCGAAGGTGAAAATCCTGTGCCAAATCATAGCCGAAACCCCCGCCGCCGCCGTGGAGAGGGTTCTGGAAGACGCCGGCATCCGCGTCCGCGGCGAAGATGTGGAGGAGGTGCTCAAGCTGTCCTACGGCCACCCCGGCTCCGCCGTCAAATTCTTCCGGTGGTCCGGTTTCCAGCTGAATAACAAGCACACCCCGTACGCCTGGAATCTAGTCGTCGATTTGCTCGGCAAGAATTCCCTTTTCGATGCAATGTGGGACGCCATTAAATCGATGAGAAAAGAATTTTTACTCTCTCTCTCCACCTTCCGCTTCGTGTTCGCCAATTACGCGGCGGCCAATCGCGTGCAGGAAGCCATTTTGAGCTATGAGGTGCTCGAACAATACAATGTACCTAAAGACGTCGCAGCACTGAACTCCCTTTTGAGTGCAATCTGTAATTCGGGAAAAATGGAAACCGCAAAGGACTATTTGGTAATTGCAAAGGAGAGGACTCGAATCAACGCAGAGACGTATTCAATCTTGCTGGAGGGCTTTGAGAATGAAGGAGATGTGTCTAGAGCTAGGCAAACTTTCTCGGAAATGGTGGCAGATATCGGATGGGACACGAGGAATATTCCCGCTTACGATTCCTTCTTGTGCACACTTCTCAAGGGTCAAGATGGATTGCGCGAAATGATAAAATATTTCGACACGATGAGAGATAGAAATTGTTATCCGGGCATGAAGTTTTTCAAGTTTGCAATCGAAGAATGCTCGAGAAAAAACGATTCGAAGTCCGCGAAGTTGATTTGGGAGGAGTTGGTCGGTAGGAATATTTGTCAACCGGATGTAGTAATCCATAAATCTTTAATATCCCTTTACTGCAACGCGAAAGATTTCGATTCAGCTCAGAAGTTGTTGGATGAGATGGTGTACAACGGGGCTTTTCCCGATTCGGAAACTTACGGTTTACTTTTCCACTTCTTGATCAAGCAAAATCGAGTAAGGGAAGCTACCCCATTGTTTAAGGAGATGGTGAAGAACGAGTTTGTGCCTATGCAACAAGATTGTAGTTCCGCAGTTAAGGCTTTTTTAGCTGCTAAAGATCCGCATATGGCGATTAAGGTGTGGAGATTCATGGTTGAGAATTATAAAGCCGATTTGGACGAGACCGCGAATCTGTTGGTCGTGGGATTGAGAGATGCGAATAGGCTGCCCGAGGCGGTTAAGTGCGCGGAGGATATTATCGAACGAGGGATAAAGTTGACTTCTGCGACACTTTCGAAGTTGAAACAGAGCTTGTGTAAAGTCGGGAAGGCTTTTGGTTACGAGGAACTTTTGCGTAAGTGGAAGAATCATTAAGCGGGTTAGATTTCTTCCGTCGATTAGAAAATGCTTTGTGAATACGTATACGGTTTCTTTTGCTTGTTCTGATTTATAATAATGCTCGGTTTTTGATGCAATTGAATTCGTTTATTTAGATTCTTATCAAAAAAATTGAAAAAAAAAACTGGCTTATTTAGATTGCTTTTTACATTTAAGTGTTGATGCAGTAGCTTTGTTTACAGTAAGTGTATGGAAAATTGAAACTAATTCATTTGGTGTTAAATGTAACTGTTAATTAGTTTCCTGTAGGGGTGGTAAACGAGCTAAGCCGGCTCTTGAACTCGATGAGTTAGCTCGACAAAAGTTCGAACTCGAGCTCGAGCCCAATTATAGTTGTTCAACAGATCTCGAGCCCAATTATATAGTGATTCACTGTTTTTTTCTCTTTTGGGATACTCCTAGTCCAATATATGTAAGTCCAAGATGAGGGGTGTAAGTACAATAAATTGTAACTAAAGGGGGTTAGATGCTATTTACTCTAAATACTATTGCAAACATATATATTATGTTAACTTGGAGTTCATATTGAAAGTCGTTAAAACATCAATATCATGATAGATGTGTGATTTGTTATGTCGTTATCAGAAAATAAATGCAACCTGAAGTTGGGATAATAGTTTTATTTGGGCCTATGTGTATATTTTTTTGTTAAATTGCGGTCACTCCTAAAGTAAGATTAAATTACAAAAACTCCTCTAATGTTTGGGTAATTACAATGATCCTCTAAACTATGAACCTTCTTATACGTTTACCCTTGCGGTGTCAAATTTAGTGGAATCTTCTAGATTATGTGACATATTCTTCCGTTTTATCACATTCGAGCTCCAAACAAGTTTGAAACAAGATGATCATAAGACGTGTCTCTTGACTTGTAAATATCAGACTGTGGTGCATCATAAATTGCATTTTTGCACAGAACGAGTACAAACTATAGAACACCATTTCACAGAATTTAGAACCTAAATTAGGAGGTTCTTTTGAATTCGACACCATAAGAATTAACGTGTAGGAAGATTCGTAGTTTGGGTTTTTCATAATTTGACATTATTATTTTGTTTTAAATCAACATAATTTCGAACTAATTATAGTGATAAACCTTTAATTAACATCATATGTGAGCCTCTATTTGGTTGTATGTCTAGATCATTCTTGATTTCTCGCTTCAAACAAATTTTATTTTAATAAAATTTAGGATTTCATTAATTATATATTTATTAATTAGTACATCTGTTAATGTCATTAGGTGAGCTAGAAATAAAAGATTTGAGAAAATAAACAAATGGATAATATTGCTCTGTCTCTGTCTGGATTGGACAACCACACACATTATATCATGTCCCAACAAACATGATTAGCTACTGATTACTTATTTAATCACAAACTAATTAGGTGGCTTACACTCATGCAACCTCGTCCCACGTGGGACTCTTCTTGTACTAATTATGTGTTTATGTTTTTACTAATCTTAATTTTTTTTTGGTAAAGACTTTCGAATTAGTGGGACTCGATTGTAATTTTCGTAGACATATGGCCGAGTCATCGTAAAACAAATAATCAATTCGTATAAAGTACTTTTGAAAATGGATGCGATGAATGCCGTTTTCGTTTTAATAATATTGTTTCGATTTGAAATAAAAATTTGACCATTTCAAGGCTGAATTTGACAAAACTCAAAATACGGAATTTCTAATTCTTTTAGTTAGCTTTCTAATCTAATTTTAATCACCAAAATTGAGTGTTTGATGAGAAAAATATGAATGAATCAATAAACTGTGATCACAACTTTGATCTTTTGAGTTATTTGAAATTCAGGACGTAATTTATTCATGAATAACTTTGTCATACGTCTCCAATCTATATGATTCAAGTTGAATAGAGAGTTAACTCAAAGCTCTACAACTTCTGTGTGTGAATTTTACCAAATCGATATTAAAAATATGTCAAAATCATGTTTGAAGTTGAAATAATATTACTAAAATTGAAACGAAATTTATATTTTTAAAAATTTTAAAAATTCCAAAATGACCCATTGATAATGGTAGGGCAACATTTAAAACTGTTTGGTGCCGATGCCTGTCACACGTGCATAGGCTAGATTCTTAATGTATCGAATTCGATTCAATTATTTTCTTAAACAAATACATAATTCATAATTCATCCAATTATATATATATATATATATGATATGCCTAATTGGGCCAACCCAATGGGCCTACAATTTATTTACCTACTGGGCCACGAGCCCAATATCGAAGATCATTATCACCAAGGCCCAATCACCTTCAAGTAAGGTTCGGGCCCGACAATCTCAACTAAGATATAAATAAAGGTTTGAACTCATTCCTCAAGGTACGTCCTATTAACTGAGCAATACGACAACTGTATTCTCTGGACTATTTCTATGATCAGCACGTCTGACTTGAGCGTCGGAGGGGTTTCCGCCGGATCAACCCCCGGCTTAGTTCATGTGTTCTATGATCGCAGGTACCTCAGGATCATCAAGTTGTCAAGCTACTGATCTGCTTTGCTCTCCTAGCTCATTTTCTACACCACCCTAGGTGAGCTACATTTTAGCATCATCATTTTGGCGCCGTCTGTGGGAACGATGCAAACCAGATCACGTAGCCAACAAGATCCTCCTGAGGCGTCTGCTCGGAGAGAAAATGACACAGCTAACGACCTCCCACCTTGTGGAGGCTCTGGCTTGCCACCTCCTCTACATCCCATGGATCCGCCTCGCGAGGTTCAGGTGATCCCCCCTCGGGACCCACCACTCGCCGATCCACCACTCTCTGCTCCTCGAATGGTTCAAATAACCGAGGATGCGCTTCAACGCATGATAGCAGAAGCTTCAACTCGCGCTGCCACAGAGGCCGTGACCCAATATATCGCCACGATGGGAGCAAATGCTCCCAACGCGATACCAGCACCTGCTCCACATGTGGAGCCACCTATGGCACCACCGCCATCGACTCCCTGGGGGCTTACATCTGCCCCCAAAATATTTCGCTCGCCAAGGGTTATCAACTCCCTGGGGGTATACAGTGCCCCCAAAATATTTCGCTCGCCAAGGGTTATCGACTCCCTGGGAGCTTACATCGCCCCCAAAATATTTCGTTCGCCAAGGGTTATCAACTCCCTGGGGGCTTACATCTGCCACTAAAATATTTCGTTCGCCAAGGGTTATCGACTCCCTGGGGGTTCACAGTGGCCCCAAAACATTTCATTTGCCATGGGTCATCGACTCTCTGGGGGTCTACTTCAACTACATCTGATGTCCTACCTCAGGTACATCAGATGTCCTACTTCAACTACATCTGATGTCATACTTCAAGTACGTCAGATGTCCTACTTCAACTACATCAGATGTCATACCTCAGGTACATCAGATGTCCTGCTTCAGCTACATCTGATGTCATACCTCAGGTACATCAGATGTCAACTACATCTGATGTCATACTTCGAGTACATCAGATGTCCTACTTCAACTACATCTGATGTCATACCTAAGGTACATCAGATGTCCTACTTCAGCTACATCTGCTGTCATACCTCAGGTACATCAGATGTCAACTACATCTGATGTCATACCTAAGGTACATCAGATGTCCTACTTCAGCTACATCTGCTGTCATACCTCAGGTACATCAGATGTCAACTACATCTGATGTCATACCTCAGGTACATCAGATGTCCTGCTTCAGCTACATCTGATGTCATACCTCAGGTACATCAGATGTCAACTACATCTGATGTCATACTTCGAGTACATCAGATGTCCTACTTCAACTATATCTGATGTCCTACCTCAGGTACATCACATGTCCTACTTCAACTACATCTGATGTCCTACCTCAGGTACATCAGATGTCCTACTTCAACTACATCTGATGTCATACTTCAAGTACGTCAGATGTCCTACTTCAACTACATCTGATATCATACTTCAAGTACATCAGATGTCCTACTTCAACTACATCGGATGTCCTACTTCAAGTACATGAGATGTCTTATAGCCACGAGAAAACTCTCGAGTCGCTACTACGTCGCAGCGGGACAACTCCCCCGACGCCTACACTTAGCCTCGAGACAGCTCTTGAGTCGTTACCACGTCGCAGCGGGACAACTTCCCCGACAATAATATTTAGCCTCGAGACAACTCTCGAGTCGATATAACATCTGGGCGATACAATTCCCCAGTTACTACTTACCCGTGTGACAACTCTCGCGCTTCAATTAAATTGTGGTGA